GTCGAATTGGTTGAGATTCTTATCCAATATTCATTGAAAAAGTAGACCAAAATATGCTGCAAGATTATTATTTTTTTTGCAGTTTAGTAAACTTTTCCCATGTTTTTATGAAAGAACCAATTAGGAAATGGCATTGATAACCCAGGAACAAAAATCACTGTGTTTACAAAGTGTAAATAATAGATTGGCCAAATTTCCTTTTGTTGCTGCAGGAGAAATGGAGGGCCACCTGCGCCTCCTTTCGGAGCTGCTTCCATCCTGGGTCAGCATCCTTTCCATCCGGAAAGACACATATATCAAGCTGGACAAAAGCGTCGACCTCAACATTATCACCGAGAGACTGGCCAAAAGGGTGAAGGAAGAGGAATGGCTTTGATAGCAACGAATGCAGACTTTTTGGTGCAACAATTGTGACCGGACCGAGCCTCCTGGCAGAGTTTTTACTTAACACATTTCTAGATTTTAGCATTGATGGAGCAATAAAGGCAAAAAAGGATAGTTTTTACTGTTTCTAGCTGCTTCCCCCCTCCCCAATTCAGCTGGAAAGTTGGTTTCGGTTCATGTCAAACTCCGTACCTCTCTGCAGTTGTTAAAACTTTGTAATTGTTTCCGGAATTATGTTTTTCTTTCAATGGATTGTAATGGGGAATGAAATGAAGCAAGACTACAAATGTGGAAAAATATGATGCAGGAGTTTCCATTCCCAAATGCAATGGGTTAGGAACACTTTTCCAGGAAAATGAGTTGGAATTAATTCCTTTTGCATTTTTTAAATAGTTTGCAAGGGTCCCTCCTTCCCTTTCTTTCAAAAAAGAGAGGATCTGTTTTGAAATGTTGAATGTATTATTATGAACTTTGGCATTAAAATATTTTCTTCACTTGACAACATATTGGAGAACGTTTCTTATTACATCCAAGGCAAGGTCCCTTTTCCCTTTATCTTGTAACCAAAGTATATTAGCTGTAATCCACTTTGCAGAACAGACCAATAATAATAATAATAATAATAATAATAATAAGCCATTATAACCAATGCCATCAAAGCCAGAATTGAAAAGTCGACAACAGATCCCAAATGTAAATCTGGAAGGAAGCAGATGAAACAATAGATCACATCCTGAGCTGTAGTCAGACTACAAGCAGAGGCACAACACCGTTGCTCAGATGATTCATTGGAACTTGTGCCACAAATACCATCTGCCTGCGACAAAGAACTGGTGGGATCACAAGCCGGAAAAAGTTAAAGAGAATGAACACGGCAAACTCCTCTGGGACTTCCGGATTCAGACTGACAAGAGTTTTAGAGCATAATACTCCTGACCTCACAATTGTGTTAAAAAATAAAATATGGATTGTTGATGTTGTAGTCCTAGGTGACAACAGGATTGCAGAGAAACAACTGGAAAAGCTGACACAATACAAGGATTTAAAGATTGAACTGAAAACACTCTGGCACAAGCCAGTGAAGGTGGTCCCAGTGGTGATCGGCACACTGGGTGCAGTGCCTAAAGACCTTGGCCTGCACTTAAATACAATCGGCCAGCTGCAAATTACCATCTGCCAGCTGCAAAAGCCCCCCTTACTGGGATCTGCACGCATTATTTGCCAATATATGACACAGTCCTAGACATTTGGGAAGGGTCTGATGTGTGATCCAATACAACTGCTAGCAGAGTGAACTTGTCTGCTGTGGATTCATCTTGTGTTTCAAATAAAAATATAATAAATTATTATTATCATTATCCTTCTGCTATCAGGCAGATATCTTCTTTTTATTCAGATCATTATTATAATGACATTATCATCATCATCATTCCACCATTAGGCAGATATCTCTTTTTATTTGGATAATAATAATAATAATAATAATAATAATAATAATAATAATGATCTGCTATCAGGAAATGCTCTGACTTATAAGAAGCACTGCCTGGATATCAAGCAAAATGTGGGTGCTAGAAACAATATCGTACGAAAGCTGACGTGCAATCTGGGGATCACAACCAGACACAGTGAAGACACCTGCTATCAGGCAGATACCTTCTTTTATTCGGATCATTATTATAATGACATTATTATCATCGTTATAATCATTCTGCCATTAGGCAGATATCTTTATTTGGATAATAATAATAATAATAATAATAATAATAATAATAATAATAATAATATGGATCTTCTGCTATCAGGAGATGATAATAATAATAATAATAATAATAATAATAATAATAATAGATTGCATGGATCAAGTGTACCCTGGACCATGCTCTGACTTATAAGAAGCACTGCCTGGATATCAAGCAAAACGTGGGTGCTAGAAATAATATCGTACGAAAGCTGACTGGTGTAACCTGGGGGTCACAATCAGACACAGTGAAGACACCTTCCCTTGCGCTTTGCTACTCTGCTGCTGAATACACATGCCCAGTGTGGAACACATCTCACTACATTAAAACAGTGGACGTGGCTCTTAATGAGACATGCTGCATTATCACAGGATGTCTATGCCCCACTCCATCAGAGAAATTACACTGCTTTGGATGTAGCAGCTTATAATGAAAGGGCCAAGGCATTGACATCTCCAACATATCCTCTGTTCGGATATCAGCTTCCTAAGAGCTACAGATATACTCGAAGGGACACCTAGGCAAGCAAGAGTCCAAAAGTGGTAGGCTAAAACCCAGAACCTCAATTCATGGCTGATACCAAATGAGAGCCTCCCTGCTGGGCACACAGAAGACTGGGCGACCTGGAAGGCGCTGAACAGACTGCTCTGGCACCACGAGATGCAGAGTCAACCTTAAGAAATGGGGCCACAAAGTGGAGTCCATGGCATGTGAGTGTGGAGAAAACGACAGACCACCTACTGCAATGCGATCTGAGCCCTGCCACATGCACAATGGAGGACCTTCTCACAGTGACACCCAAGTGGGCAACTTCTGGTAAAAGAAAATCTAGTATACTGCCAAGTTCTTCATGACGTCTGTGAAATCCCACACATGGTGTTTCTCGCACCTGCGCAAATACATTATAACTGTACCCTTAATTTGCTTCTGACACGATTAATAAATAAATTTCCTTTTTCTGTCGATTCCACCCAAAATGCCGTAATTCATATGGCAATAGCAGCAACTTTTCCAACTCAATGCACGATAATGACATTTTGTTTTTAATACATAAGCTTGAAATAACAGAACTCATCGTTTTGGCAAGAGTTGAAGTGCTATTTTTTATTTTTAAAAAAGTCCGCAATGATTAATTAATAAATTAGCAGTAGTTAAAATGGCATTGATGGAGAAGACTAGAAAGCAAGGAATGTAAGCAATTCCTTACTGGTTGGGTTGAATCATGATCCAATCTGAGAAGCTGAAGCATCTAACATGGGGAGATTCAGAGCTCGGGAAGTGCGGCTTTGTTTATTGCAAGTACCAGAATCCCCCGTGTTAGCAGGACTGGCTATAGGAGATGAAGGCCAAAAATAGGTAGCTCTTCCTACCCATTGCTTTTCACGAAAGCAAAGCTGGGTCTCTCGCTTGCCCTTTAGTCGTATTTCAGGAGCGCATGGAGTGGAAACGGCTTGAGGACTTCAGCCCCTTTGAGGAAGGTCAACTCAATGACCACCAGGCAGTCCAAGATGTCGGCCTTCAGCTTGGTCAGCAGCTCACAGGCCGCCCGCATCGTCCCTGCAGGAAAGAGAGCAGGAAATAGGATTACTTCGGTTTGCAGTTATTTATTTATGACATTTATATGCTGCCCTTCTCACCCCAAAGGGGACTCAGAGCGACTCACAAGATATATACACACACACATACAATATATTATATTACTAGCCGTCCCCTGCCACGCGTTGCTGTGGCCCACTCTGGTGGTCATGGGGGTTCTGTGTGGGAGGTTTGGCCCAATTCTATCATTGGTAGGGTTTGGAATCCTCTATGATTGTAGATGAACTATAAATCCCAGCAACTACAACTCCCAAATGTCAAGGTCTATTTCCCCCAAACTCCATCTGTGTTCATATTTGGGCATTTGGAATATTCGAGCCAAGTTTGGTACAGATCCATCATTGTTTGAGTCCACAGTAATCTCTGGATGTAGGTGAACTACAACTCCAAAACCCAAAGGACACTGCCCACCAAACCCTTCCAGTATTTTCTGTTGGTCATGGGAGAACTGTGTGCCAAGTTTGGTTCAATTCCATCGTTGGTGGGGTTCAGAATGCTCTTTGATTGTAGGTGAACTATAAATCCCAGCAACTACAACTCCCAAATGACAAAATCAATTTTTTTTGAGTGAAGGACATACATTGGGTTATTAGGTGTCTTGTGTCCTAATTTGGTGTCAATTTGTCCAGTGGTTTTTGAGTTCTGTTAATCCCACAAACGAACATTACATTTTTATTTATATACATACACACACACAACACACACACAGGGAGTTGCAGTTGCTGGGATTTATAGTTCACCTACAATCACAGAGCATTCCGAACCCCACCAACGATAGAATTGGGCCAAACCTCCCACACAGAACCCCCATGACTACCAGAGTGTGCCACAGCAACGCATGGCAGGGAATGGCTAGTGTGTGTGTGTGTGTATGTGTGTAATTTCTCGTGTGTGTATGTATGTACATATATATATATGCATACACTCTCTATACATATATATATATTGTCCATATATACACATACATACATATATATATATACATGTATGTATGTTTGTATGTATGTACAGTTTATGTATATTTCTGTCCACACACACATATATAAATCTGTCTCTCTATACACACACACATATATATATGTCTATATATATTTTTCTGCCCATATAAATACACACACACACATATATATACACACATGCACACACACATGTACAGTATATATATTTTCCATCCCCACACACACACACACACACACACACACACACACACACACATATATATATATATATATATATATGTATATATTATGGGTGTGTGTGTGTATGGGTGTGTGCATATATATAGGTAAAGGTTTCTCCTTTACATTATATCCAGTCGCGTTCGACTCTGGGGGGTTGCTGCTAATCTCCACTTTTAAGCCAAAGAGCAGGCGTTGTCTATAGACACCTCCAAGGTCATGTGACCAGCATGACTGCATGGAGCAGTGTTACCTTCCTACCAGAGCAGTACCTATTAATCTACTCATATTTGCATGTTTTTGAACTGCTAGGCTGCCAGAAGCTGGGCCTAATAGCAGGAGCTCACCCCACTCCCTAGATTCAAACTGCCAACCTTTCAGTCAGCAAGTTCAGCAGCTGTGTGTGTGTGTGTGTGTGTGTCTGTATCATTTGGACTTAATCCCATGGTGCTTTTCTGGCCCTTTTGCCTCTTGAGACACACTTGGCTGAGCCTGTCTGCCACGTCAGCATCCAGAGAAAAGCCTGTTGCCCATCCTTCCTCTTTTTAATTGCAAATTGCGCACTTTCTTCTTTTCCTTCTGGGCCACTTCCTTCTAGATGTTGCCCACAAGTTTGCAACTCCAAAAGTACCGCAAAAATTAGCAAGATAATTTTGCAGGGCGAAATTTTTTTTTGGTCGTGTCAGGAGTGACTTGAGAAACTGCAAGTCGCTTCTGTTGTGAGAGAATTGGCCGTCTGCAAGGACATTGCCAGGGGACGCCCAGATGAATTGATGTTTTTATCATCCTTGTGTCTCATGTCTCCGCATGAGGAGCTGGAGCTGATAGAGGGAGCTCATCCACCTCTCCCTGGATTCGAACCTGCGACCTGTCGGTCTTCAGTCCTGCCGGCGCAGGGGTTTAACCCACTGCGCCACCGGGGGCTCCTTTGAGAAATTGAAACCCAAAAGCAAAGGAAGCTGTCAGGAGAAATATAAAACCATCTTGAATGCCCAAACCCCAAAAGTGGCAAAGTTGTGTATCTCCCGTGAATTTTGGGAAAGGAGTCAATGGTAGCCATGGGTATTTTCTGCCAGATCCTCACCTCCGGTGGCCAGAAGGTCATCGATGAGGATGACCTTCTGACCTGGCTGGATGGCATCGCTCTGGACTTCAAGCTCGGCCTGAAAGAGACAGGAGACATGAGTGGGCATTGCAACCAATACAGGGCTGTGGGCCACTTCTCCGGCCAGCCAGGCTTTAGAGGGAATGCACCGTTAGGATCTGATTTTAATTTAATTTAATTTTCTCCCTGTTGAAATGCACAAGCTGCATCCTTACAACACAGAATAGAAATTACAAGTTAATTCTTCATTGGGTAGGATTGAATCCTTTCAAATACTCTTTTACTTCTGGAGTAAAACAACTTCTTCCAAAGTCAGGACCGGAGAATTAAACAGGAAATAACACTGTATTGTCAAAGGCTTTCATGGCCGGAATCACTGGGTTGTTGTAGGTTTTTTCGGGCTATATGGCCATGTTCTAGAGCATTGGTTCTCAACCTGGGGTCCCCAGATATTTGGCAAGCATCCTCAGAGGATGTTGCCATAGATGCAGGCGAAATGTCAGGAGAGAATGTCTCTAGACTATGGCCATATGGCTCGACAAAACCTACAACAACCCAGGAAATATCACTTTCAAACTAGTAAGAGATTTTTTTTTCAAATTTGATTACATATTGTAAAAAGTTAATTCATCAGTGGATATGATGAAATCCATTAAAACATCTCTTGCCACCTGATAGCAGAAGGATGATAATGATGATAAATTATTATTATTATTATTATTATTATTATTATTGCCTTGCTCATATGCTGCTGCTGATAACTACAAGAAAATAATTTTAATTGAATATGATTAAATACATTAAAATATGCCTCTTCACCAATCAATAAAATCATCTTACTCATACCCTGCCAATAATAATAATAATCATCATCATCATCATCATCATCATCACCATCACCATCTATATAAATAAAAATTTAATGTTCGTTTGTGGGATTAACATAACTCAAAAACCAATGGATGAATTGACACCAAATTTGGACACAATACACTTATCAGACCAATGAGTGACCATCACTCATAAAAACATTGAAAAACACAACAGAAGAAATTGAAATCCAAAAAAAATAAAATAAATTACAATGCATGCGCAAAACCACACACACACACACACACACACATATGCAAACACACACACATACACACATGCGCACACACAAAACACATATTCACAGACTGGGCCACAGAAACGCATAGCAGGGGACGGCAAGTAGTAGTAGTAGTAGTAGTAGTGTGGCAATCATTAGGAGAAAATAAAATCTGGTAGTCATGGGGGTTCTGTGTGGGAGGTTTAGCCCAATTCTATCATTGGTGGGGTTCAGAATGCTCTGTGGTTCTAGGTGAACTATAAATCCAAACAACAACGACTCCCAAATGTCAAGGTTCTATCTTCCCCAAACTCCACCACTGTTCACATTTGGACATATTGAGTATTTGTGTAGAGTTTGGTCCAGATCTATCATTGTTTGTGTCCATAGTGTTCTCTGGATGTAGGTGTGCTACAACTCCCAAAGTCAACATCAATGCCCACCAAACCCTTCTAGTGTTTTCTGTTGGTCATGGGAGTCCTGTGTGCCAAGTTTGATTCAATTCTATCATTGGTTGAGTTCAGAATGCTCTTTGATTGTAGGTGAACTATAAATCCCAGCAACTACAACTCCCAGATGAGAAAATCATTTTTTTTGAGTGAAGGACATACATTGGGTTGTTAGGTGTCTTGTGTCCAAATTTGGTGTCAATTCGTCCAGTGGTTTTTGAGTTCTGTTAATCCCACAAACCAACATTACATTTTTATTTATATAGATTCAGCTCTCACAACCTATAATTAATTTTCACATTCATTATAGCTGATTTCTGGGGTTGATGTCAAATTTCAATGGAAATTTGGAGGTGCCAAAAAAGAGGGGTGCATTTCACCCCTGAGAAGGAGGAAAGTTGAATGTACTCATTTGAAGCAAGAAATACTTGAATTAGTCCCAGAGGGAGGAATAAAATTCTAAAAAGCCCCAATGACTCATGGCTGAGCCATCTCCAGAAGCGCCTCCACCCAAACTGGGTTTTGGATCCTTCCTTCGTCTTATTTATTCAATTTAACGTCCTTTTCTCTCTCTCCCACAAATGGGACTCAAGGTGGCTGAGTGTTTGTAGGAAATGGAAAGTTAACTTTGAAAAGAGTATAAAAAGCCCATCTGTTGTATGTTCACAAGTTCGTCTTGTGGGTACAAGGGGGACAGCCTTCTCCTCTGTGGCTTCTCGACTTTACCTGGAGAGATCAGGAAAGCCCCTTCACTAGAAACGTTCAAAAAGAACCTTAAAACCTGGCTCTTCTGCTGCGCCTTTAGTGAGTAGGTGCACACCATGACATTCTGCACCCCTCAACTGTTTTTTGTGTGGAGCTGGAGCTCGCACCCTCCAAATGGGAAGTTTAGCCTCACAAGTCTTGTGTGTTTCATGAGTTCCCTGTAAATATCCTGCTCCTATTTTATTTCATTACAGTCTTTTAATTGTCCTATCCTTTACATGCGGCCCGCCCATTGTTATTGTTACTGTGATTGTGTTTATTAGAATGTTATTTTATGACTGCCTTTCTGATGGCCGAAAGCGAGGAGGAGCTGAGGAGCCTTCTAATCAAGGTGAAAGAAGAAAGCGCAAAAGCCGGGTTGCAGCTAAACGTCAAAAAAACCAAGCTTATGGCAACAAGAATGATTGACAACTGGAAAATAGAGGGAGAAACCGTGGAGGCCGTGACAGACTTTGTATTTCTAGGTGCAAAGATTACTGCAGATGCAGACTGTAGCCAGGAAATCAGAAGACACTTACTTCTTGGGAGGAGAGCAATGTCCAGTCTCGATAAAATAGTAAAGAGTAGAGACATCAGACTGGCAACAAAGATCCGCCTAGTCAAAGCCATGGTATTCCCTGTAGTAACCTACGGATGTGAGAGCTGGACCTTAGGGAAGGCTGAGCGAAGGAAGATCGATGCTTTTGAGCTGTGGTGTTGGAGGAATGTTCTGAGAGTGCCTTGGACTGCGAGAAGATCCAACCAGTCCATCCTCCAGGAAATAAAGCCCGACTGCTCATTGGAGGGAAGGATATTAGAGACAAAGTTGAAGTACTTTGGCCACATCATGAGGAGACAGCAAAGCCTAGAGAAGACAATTATGCTGGGGAAAGTGGAAGGTAAAAGGAAGAGGGGCCGGCCAAGGGCAAGATGGATGGATGGCATCCTTGAAGTGACTGGACTGACCTTGAAGGAGCTGGGGGTGGTGACGGCCGACAGGGAGCGCTGGCGTGGGCTGGTCCATGAGGTCACGAAGAGTCGGAGACGACTGAACGAATGAACAACAAAATTTTTGATGATGATGTTGTTGTTTGTTGTTTATGTTTTGATTTTATTGCTGTAATATGTTGTCTGGGCTTGGCCTCATGTAAGCCGCTCCGAGTCCCCACTGGGGAGATGGTGGCAGGGTATTATTATTATTATTATTATTATTATTATTATTATTATTATGGTGGCAGTTTCACTTTTTACCTGCATGAGCAGGGACTGTCCACCTGTTGGGTCAAACAAAATAAATCTGGTTTGTTTTCACCCCAACTAGTCCATTCGTTTTCTCTTCCTGAGCTTCTCTGATCCTTCATCTTCATGAATCCACTACACTATTATTACTTTTCTCTCCTGAACAAGACCCAAATCAGCTCATTAACCTTAAAATCCATGTGTAGTGAATTCCCTACCTGTTAGGCTAGAAAAAAGTCTAGAAAAGTAGGCCCAAGAGGTTTGGCAGCCATTTTCGAAAGGGTGCCGGGGGTATCCATTTTAGTTACTCATTTCCTGAAGGGGGCATGTTAAGAAAGAGCAGCTTTGGAGGGAAATGAGAGAGGACTGTGATTGGCTGAGTTAAGAGTGGGCGGAGCCTAACTTGGCAAAAGTAAAAAATGGACTTTAAGGGAAGGTTTCACAACCCTGTCAGGAGATTGAAGATCCTGGTTGTCAAAGGGAGAGGGTGTTAGGAGTTTGGAGTGGTGTAGAGGGTTAGAGAGAAGAGGCCTAAGATTGGTCTGTTGGCTAGCGGAGTTAGCTAGTGGGAAGTTTACAGCTATTAAGGAAGATAGCTGGGAAGTAGAGAGATAGATCCAGGATAGGACTATCTGTACTGGTGTAGAATTACTTTCAGAGAGCAATCCTGTCAGTATTTCTGTGGAGGGAGAGAGGAGTGTCCTTGTGTAACTAAGTCTGAACTGCTTTATGTAACCACACGCTTTAAGACAATACTCTGAAACAGCCAAGCTTGATATCTGAATTGTTCCAGTTCTTTTAAATAAACATCATTGTTTTACTGTTTTTAACATCTGCCTCACGTGTGCCTCTGTGGGTGAAGTCCTAAAAGCAGATTCCTGCCATAATCAAGAGCTTAATGGTGGCAGCATAGAAGTTAAAGAACAATCTTTAGTGTTACCTCAAAAACACAAGCCTGAGGGCTAAATCCAACACACTCTTGCCTAACAATACTTCCAGTAAGCCAAGGGCATATCAGCGCTTCTAAGTTGGCGGGTGCCAGAAGGCTTTGAAAAAGGGTTTTTTCAGCCAGAAGAAAGTTCCAACTTAATTTACAGCTTATTGTTTTTTGGGCTTTTAATCACAGAAACCTCATTCCAATACAAGTGGTGTTCAGTTTTGGGGTTTTTATTTTCAAATAAATCCTCAACATCGCTATACCATGCAATTCAAAACCAACGTCAAATAAATACTAAACTTACAATAGCAGAAGATGCAAGCTAAGAGAGTTTCACAGTGATCAAAAATCCCGGGTACTCTTGCAGAGAGCTTTACGCTTTGCATAATTACTCAGGTAGGCTTGCAGAGGTGAATGCAAACAAAAGGGACTATTACCTTGCCGTATTCCAGAGTGTAGGAAACCGACTCGGTGGGACCCGGGAGCTTTCCTTTTTTCCGGATCAGCAGAAACCCAACTCCAAACCTCTGGGCCAAAGAAGGTCCGAAAAGGAAACCCCTGGAATCGAGACCTAGAGAAAGGCATATAAATATAGATATAGATATTTCTAGGTGTGCATTTGCACTGGAGAATTAATGCAATATGGTACCACTTTAACTACCGCCTGTGTGATCCTAGGAATTGAAGTTTGAAGATGTTGGGAAACTATCAACTCCCAGGATTCCATAGATAGCCAAAGTGGAGTCAAACTGCATTAATTCTGCAGTATAGATCCAACTGGTATGGATCCACAGATATATATATATATATATTCCCTAAACACAGCATTTACTGTTGGTCAAGGGGGTTGTGTGGGAAGTTTGGCCCAACTCTATTGGTGGGGTTCAGAATGCTCTTTGATTATAGGTGAACTATAAATCCCAGTAACAACAACTCTCAAACATGAAGGTCTATCTTCCCCAAACTCCATCAGTGTTCTCATTTGAGCATATTGAGTATTGTGCCAAGTTTGGTCCAGATCCATCATTGTAGTCCACAGTGCTCTCTGGAGGTAGTGAACTACAACTCCACCAGTGGTCAATGCCCACCAAACTCTTCCAATATTTTCTGTTGGTCATGGGAGTTCTGTGGGCCACGTCTGGTTCAATTCCATCGTTGGTGGAGTCAGAATACTCTTTGATTGTAGGTGAACTATAAATCCCAGCAACTACAACTCCCAAATGACAAGATTCTATTTCCCCCAAACTCCATCTGTGTTCATATTTGGGCATATGGAAAATTCATGCCAAGTTTGGTCCAGATCCATCATTGTTTGAGTCCACAGTGCTGTCTGGAGGTAGGTGAACTACAACTCCCAAACTCAAGGTCAATGCCCACCAAACCCTTCTAGTTTTCTGTTGGTCATGGGAGTTCTGTGTGCCAAGTTTGGTTCAATTCCATCGTTGGTGGGTTCAGAATGCTCTTTGATTATAGGTGAACTATAAATCCCAGCAACTACAACTCCCAAATGACAAATTCAATTTTTGAGTGATGGTCACTCCTTGGGTTAATAGGTATCTTGTGGCCAAATTTGGTGGCAATTAGTGCAGCCATTTTTGAGGTATGATGTCACTCAAAACGAACACAACATTTATATAGATAGATAGATAGATAGATAGATAGATAGATAGATAGATTATTATTAGTTGTTGTTATTATTATTATTATTATTATTATTATTATTATTATTATTATTATTATATTAACTCACCTGCAATATAATCAAATTTTGGGTGGGAAGCCTTGATATAATCTTCTAGCAAATCAATGGCAGCTTTGAAGGCGAGAGGGTCTTTCAAGAGAGGTGTTATATCACTATCGAAAAGGAGGGAAAAGGAGTCATTATATATGTTAAAGTCGCTCAGATCTGCAGGTATTTGCCCTGCACTTTGCCCATGACATTAATAAATAGCCTATAGTTTAAAAAACTCATAGCTAACAGACCATTAAAGAACATGGGTTGGACTTCAACTCCCAGAATCCCTGGCTATTGACTATGGAGGCTGGAGCCAAAGTCCAAAGAAACTTGAGGGGCAAAGGTTGAACAAAAACATTGCCGTCAACTAAATGCACTGTATTTAACCCCCTATTCCTATTTTCTCCATTGTATTTTCCTGCAAGGGTGCCTCTGAGTATGTCAAGAGTGCATCTTACTCATTCTATGTCAGCAGAGGTGCCTCTGAGTATGTCAGGAGTGCATTCTCTTCCCTTATATCTCTACAAAGGTGTTTCTAAACACATCAAGTGTGCATTCCTATCCCTTCATATGTCAGAAGTGTTTCCCCTTTCCTGGTATCCATGCAAAGGTGTTTCCGAACATGCCAAGAGTGCATTTCCACTCATTCTATCTCTGCAAAGGCACCTCTGAGCATGTCAAGACTGCATTCCAATCCATTGTACTTTTGCAAAAGCGCCTCTGAGCATGTTAAGAGTGCATATCCATCTCATAACTCTGCAAAGGTGCCTCTGAGCATGCCAGGAATGCATACCGATCCATTCTAGTTCTGCAAAGGTTCCTCTGAGCATGTCTAAAGTGCATTTCTATCCATTCTGTTTCTGCAAAGGTATTTTTGAGCATGTCAAGAGTGAGTTCCCACCCATTCTACTTCTGCAAGGATGGTTCTGAGCATGTCTAAAGTGCATTCCCACCCATTCTATCTTTGCAAAGGGTGCCTCTGAGCATGTCAAGAGTGCACTCTCTTCCCTTCTATCTCTGGGAAGGTGTCTCTGAGCATGTCAGGAGTGGATTCCCATCTCATCTCTCTGCAAAGATATTTCTAAACGTATAAGGAATGCATTACTGCCCATTCTACCATTCTGCGATGGTCCCTTTGAGCATGCCAAGTGTGCATTCCTGCCCATTCTACTTCTGCAAAGATGCCCCTGAGCATGTCAAAAGTGCATTCTAATCAATTCTACTTCTGCAAAAGTGTCTCTGAGCATGGCAAGAGTGCATTCCCACCCATTCTACTTCGGCAAAGAGTGCATTCTAATCGATTCTACTTCTTCAAAGGTGCCTCTGAGCATGTCAAGAGTACATACCCATCTCATATCCCTGCAAAGGTATTTCTAAATATCTTAAGAGTGCATTCCCACCCATTATACTGCTGCAAAGGTGCCTCTGAGCATGTCATGGGTGCATTCCAATCAATTCTAAATATGCAAAGGTGCCTCTGAGCATGTCAAGAGTGCATACACATATCATATCTCTGCAAAAAGTATTTCTAAACATGCCAAGGGTGCATTCCCATCCATTCTACTTCTGCAAAAGTGCCTCCGAGCATATCAAGAGTGCATTCCAATTTATTCTACTTCTGCAAAGTTGCCTCTGAGCATGTCAAGTGCATAAACATCTCATATCCCTGCAAAAAGTATTTTTAAACATGTCAAGAGTGCATTCCCACCCATTCTACTTCTGCAAAGGTGCCTCTGAGCATATCAAGAGTGCATTCTAATTGATTCTACTTCTGCAAAAGTGCCTCTGAGCATGTCAAGAGTGCATACCCATCTCATATCCCTGCAAAAAGTATTTTTAAACATGTCAAGAGTGCATTCCCACCCATTCTACTTCTGCAAAGATGCCTCTGAGCATGTCAAGAGTGCATTCCAATTTATTCCACTTCTGCAAAGGTGCCTCTGAGCATGTCAAGAGTGCATACCCATCTCATATCCCTGCAAAAAGTATTTTTAAACATGTCAAGAGTGCATTCCCACCCATTCTACTTCTGCAAAGATGCCTCTGAGCATGTCAAGAGTGCATTCCAATTTATTCCACTTCTGCAAAGGTGCCTCTGAGCATGTCAAGAGTGCATACCCATCTCATATCCCTGCAAAAGGTATTTCTAAACATATCAAGAGTGCATTCCCACCCATTCTACTTCTGCAAAGGTGCCTCTGAGCATGCCAAGAGTGCATTCCAATTTATTCCACTTCTGCAAAGGTGCCTCTGAGCATGTCAAGAGTGCATACCCATCTCATATCCCTGCAAAAAGTATTTCTAAACATGTCAAGAGTGCATTCCCACCCATTCTACTTCTGCAAAGGTGCCTCTGAGCATGTCAAGAGTGCATTCCAATCTATTCTACTTCTGCAAAGGTGCCTCTGAGCATGCCAAGAGTGCATAAACATCTCATATCTCTGCAAAAAGTATTTCTAAACATGTCAAGAGTACATTCCCACCCATTCTACTTCTGCAAAGGTGCCTCTGAGCATGTCAAGAGTGCATTCCAATCTATTCTACTTCTGCAAAGGTGCCTCTGAGCATGCCAAGAGTGCATAAACATCTCATATCTCTGCAAAAAGTATTTCTAAACATGTCAAGGGTGCATTCCCACTTGTGCAAAGGTGCCTCTGAGCATGTCAAGAGTGCATAACCATCTCAAATCCTGCAAAAGGTATTTCTAAACATATCAAGAGTGCATTCCCTCCCCTTGAATCTCTGCCAAGGGTGCCTCTGAGCCTGTGAAGAGAGCATGGCCGGGCCCCCCTGCTCCTCTTCCCCTGCACTCTGCACTTGCTCAGGAGCCCCCTTGTGCCCGCAGCCCACCTCATCCCTTCTCTGACCGGAAAAGGATCCCCGGCGAAGGGAAGTCCGGGAAATCCCGAATCCGCTCTCTAACCAGGCGCCGCTTCTCTTCCCGCTGCTGCTCCGTCCCCATGGTCCAAGTGAGTTCCCGGGCAGGCCCGGTGCGCATGCGCGGGAGAGAGAAACCGCTACGTGAACAGAGGGAGGAGGCGGAAGCAGCTGGGATGAACCGGGCGGGAGCTAGGACCCAGAAAAAACCCCTTTGAAACGTCATCACTCCTGCAAAACTCATAGCAATGGAAGGCAAGGGATTCCCCAAATCCCTCCCAACATTTCTCAAAGGAATGACCATATGATTAATCCAATTCATTCTTACTATTTCCAATTTTTAATGTATTATTATTATTATTCATATTATTAATACTTGACATCTGCTAACATTTGAAATTATTATCATCATATTAATTGACCTAATTTCCAATTTTAATATAGTAGTAGTAATAATAAGAATGATCTATATTCATATTATTAATATCTGACAAGTAACAGTTCACAATTATTATCTTATTATTTGACATAATTTCCAATGTATATTATTATTCATATTAATATTTGACATCTGCTAACCTTTCACAATTATTATCGTCATATTAATTATTTGACATAATTTCCAATTTTAATATAGTAATAATAATAATAATAATCCATATTCTTATTATTAATATTTGACACATAACATTTTGCAGTCATTATCTTATTCATTATTATTTGACATAATTTCCAATATTATTATTATTCATATTAATATTTGACACCTGCTAACATTTCACAATTATTATCATCATATTATTTGACTTAATTTCCAATTTTAATATAGTAGTAGTAGTAATAATAATAATAATAATCCATATTCATATTATTATTTGGCACATAACATTTCACAAATATTATCTTATTCATTATTATTTGACATAATTTCCAATATATTATTATTAATATTAATATTTGACATCTAACATTTCACAATTATCATCATATTATTTGACATAATTTCCAATTTTAATATAGTAATAATAATAATCCATATTCATATTAATACCTGACATGTAATACTTCACAATTCTTCTTCTTCTTATTTGACATGATTTCCAATGTATATTATTATTATTATTATTATTATTATTATTATTATTCATATTTGACACCTGCCAACATTTCACAATTATTATCATCATATCCATTATTTGACATAATTTCCAATTTTAATATAGTAATAATAATAGTAATAATCCATATTCATATTATTAATATTTGACACATAACATTTCGCAGTTATTATCTTATTCAGTTATTTGACATAATTTCCAATATATTATTATTATTATTATTATTCATATTAATATTTGCCATCTGCTAACATTTCACAATTATTATCATCCTATTATTTGACCTAATTTCCAATTTTAATATAGTAGTAGTAGTAATAATAATAGTAATCCATATTCATATTATTAATATTTGGTATGTAACATTTCACAAATATTATCTTATTCATTATTATTTGATATAATTTCCAAGTATATTATTATTAATTCATTCATATTATTAATATTTTCATCTGCTAACATTTTACAATTATCATATTAATTATTTGACATAATTTCCAATTTTAATATAGTAATAATAATACATATTCATATTATTAATATCTGATGCAACATTTCACAATTATTATCTTATTCAATATTATTTGACATCTGCTAACATTTCGCAATTATCATCATATTAATTATTTGACATAATTTCCGATTTTAATATAGTAGTAATAATAATCCATAATCATATTATTAATATTTCACAATTATTATCTCATTTATTATTATTTGACATAATTTCCAATGTATATTATTATTATTCATATTAATATTTGACATCTGCTAACATTTCACAATTATTCTCATCTTACTCATTATTTGATATAATTTCCAATGGTTGTTGTGCGTTTTCCAGGCTGTCTGGCCATGTGCCAGAAGCATGCTCTCCTGACGTTTCGCCCACACCTACAGCAGACATCCTCAGAGGTTGTGAGGTCTGTTGGAAACTAGGCAAGTTAGGTGTACAAACCTGTGGAATAATGTCTAAGGTAGGAGAACTCTTGTCTGCTTGAGGCAGGTGTGGATGCTGACATTGGCCATCTTGATTAGCCTTGAATGGCTTTGCAACTTCAAAGCCTGGCTGGTTGCTGTGAACTGAACACAAGCAGAGCTGGAGGATCTGGACAGAAAAAAAAGAAAACTGATGACAATCCACTACTCATTACCCCCGCGTAGTGATGTCGACACACTTTTCCGGCCCAGAAAATCAGGAGGCAGAGGGTTTCTGCAAGTGAAACAAACGATATAAGAAGAGAAACATACACTGGCAGATTATGTGAAAGGCAGTCAAGAACCAACATTGAGGGAAGTCAATAGTAGTAAACTGCTTAAAGTGCAAAAGACAAGAGGGAATACCGTAAAAACACAATCCAGAGCAGAAGAGAAAACTGGCAAAGAAGGCTCCCATGGACATTTCCTGGGAAACATTGAGAGCCAAATTGACAAGGAAAAAACATGGTTGTGGCTCACAAATAGAACTCTGAAAAAGGAGACAAAGGAGGGTCTGATTCTGAACAAGCCATTAGAACCAATGCCATCAAAGCCAGAATTGAAAAGTCGACAACAAATCCCAAATGTAGACTCTGCAAGGAAGCAGATGAAACAATAGATCACATCCTCAGCTGCTGCAAGAAGATCGCCAGACAGACTACAAGCAGAGGCACAACACCGTTGCTCAGATTATTCTTTGGAACTTGTGCCACAAATACCATCTGCCTGCGACAAAGAAATGGTGGGATCACAAGCCTAAAAAGGTTATGGAAAATGAACATGTCAAACTACTCGGGGACTTCAGACTGACAAGAGTTTTGGAGCACAAGACTCCTGATCTCACGATTGTGGCAAAAAATAAAATGTGGACTGACAATGTTGCAATCCCAGGCGACAACAGAATTGACGAGAAGCAACTGGAAAAGCTGATGTGATATGAGGATGACTAGGATGGTTTTAAATGGTGTATTTTAATATTTTGATAAATGTTTTTTTTAATGTTTATGTATGTGTATGTGAATTTGTGTCCTGGCATTGAATGTTTGCCGTGTATATGCTGTGCTCCGCCCTGAGTTTCCTTCAGGGTGAGAAGGACGGAATATAAATGTTTCAAATAAATAATATGGAATAAAGATTGAACTGCAAACACTCTAGCACAAGCCAGTTAAGGGGTCCTAGTAGTGATCGGCACACTGGGTGCAGTGCCTAAAGAACTTGGCCTGCACTTAAAAACAATCGGTGCTGACAAAATTACCATTTGTCAGTTGCAAAAGGCACCTGACTCAGATCTGTATGCATTATTCGCTGATACATCACACAGTCCTAGACACTTGGGAAGTGTCTGATACATGATCAAATTCAAAAGCCAGCATAGGGGTCTTGTTTGCTGTATATCAAATAATGATGATGTAATTTATATCCCATTTTTCTGCCAGGAAATTTGGGAGATAAGGCTAAAACCCATGGAAAACTACAACTCCCAGGGTTCCATAGTCTTCAGATATGTTATTATTAATTAAAGTAGTGCCAAACTGCATTAACTCTGCAGTGTAGATGCACAGTTGAGCTGAAGGCCAACAAAGACTCCATTATCTATCCAAAAAAGATGTTCCATTTTTAGAAAGTTAGAGATAATAAACGCAAAGGTCAGTGGCCTGGATGTATTTACAGCTGTCTTTGTTAAGAGGATGATTTCCCCAAAGTCTGATTATCCCCTCCATCAACAGCAAAGGGTGGAAAATGAAGGTTTTATTTCATCCAGACCCTTAGCAACTCAAGAAACAAACAAAACAACTTTCCCTTGGAACAGAGAGACTTTGTTGGTGGATTTATCCCAAGGGAGATGAAGCAATGGGAGAATGGGAAGCGGAGGAAACTTTTGGGACTTTCACACTATCAATTTACCTTAAAGCAGTGTTTCTCAACCTTCCTAATGCCCCAACCCCTTAATACAGTTCCTCATGTGGTGGTGACCCCCAAGCATAAAATTATTTTCATTACTACTTCATAACTGTAATTTTGCTACTGTTATGAATCGTCATGTAAACATCCGATATGCAGGATATATTTTCATTCACTGGACCCGATATCCCCAAATTTGAACACTGGTGGGGTTGGGGGGGGGGGAAAATAAACCTTGACATTTGAGAGTTGTAGTTGCTGGATTTATAGTTCACCTACAATCAAAGAGCATTCTGAACCTCACCAATGAAAGAATTGGGCCAAACTTCCCACACACAACCTCCCATCTGAACATTAGGAAGAACTTCTGACTGTGAGAACTGTTCATGCTGGAACTCTCTGCCCCGGAGTGTGGTGGAGGCTTCCTTCTTTGGAAGCTTTTAAACAGAGGCTGGATGGCCATCTGTCAGGGTGCTTTGAATGCGATTTTCCTGCTTCTTGGCAGGGGTTGGACTGGATGGCCCACGAGGCCTCTTCCAACTCTATGATTCTATGAAAACACATTTCCAAACTATAATAGAAGGGAGTTTCAGTAAGAGTTCTTGTCACATTTAGTTTTTTTTTGTCGTGTCAGGAGTGACTCCTGGTGTGAGAGAATTGGCCGTCTGCAAGGACTTGCCCAGGGGACGCCTGAATGATTTGATGTTTTTATCATCCTTGTGGGAGGCTTCTCTCATGTCCCCGCATGAGGAGCTGGAGCTGATAGAGGGAGCTCATCCGCCTCTCCCCGGATTCGAACTTGCGACCTGTTGGTCTTCAGTTCTGCTGGCACAGGGCTTTAACCCACTGCACCACCGGGGGCTCCAGTTTTGGAGGTGTAGTTCACCTATAGCCAGACAGCACTGTGAACTCAAACAATGATAAATCTGGACCCTACTTGGCACGAATACTCAATATGCCCAAATCTGAATACTGGTGGTGTTTTAAGAAACTAGACCTTGACATTTGGGAGTTGTAGTTGCTGGGATTTATAATTCACCTACAATAAAAGAGCATTCTGAACCCCACCAATGATAGAATTGGGCGAAACTTCCCACACAGAACCCCCATGCCTTGAAGAACTTGCTCGCACAAACCTCCCTCCAGCCTCGCACACTCTCCTTCGCCCACACATGTGCACCATGCTGCCATGTGCCAAGCATGCCTGCTCTCCTCTCCCTGCTTGGCGTCTCAGAAGCAGCCAAACCCTAACCTAACCCCAACCCTAACCCTCCCCTTAGCTAAAGAGGCAGACCAATCACAGCGGAGGAGGGTTTTTGGTGAGAGGATTCGCTGTATGTTTCCGAAAAGAGGACAGGTGGATAGATCTTCAGCCTTCTCTTCCAACAGGGTTCCCAAGACCATCAGAAATATCTGTTTTCTGATAGTCATTGGCAACCCCTCTGATACCCTCTCGTGACCCACACAGGGATCCCGATGCCCCGGGTTGAGAAATGCCGCCTTAAATGAAACGAGTTCAGTTTTGCAGTGTCTCAATATTCAAACATAATTCATTGCATCCATTCAATAGTGAGAGGTTCAGAAAAAAAACAGACCAGTCAAGTATTAATATTGGCCTTCATTTCTTAGCAATTCCATGATGACAGTGAAATCATAAACCCAACAACAATATTGACATCTTAACAAAGGTAGAGAAATATACCATTGTTTTATCGATTCACATAATTTATAAAAAAAGGCAATCACTCCTTCATACTACATTTTGGCACTTCATAGAAATGTACTGTTGAAACCATTTGGATTCGTAACAGGAGTGTCATGGCAATGATAGAGCATGGAAAAGGAACCTTTATTGGACTATGATTCCCAGAATACCCCAACCAGCACAGCTAGAGGACTAAGCTTAGCCTGGTTTTCTCATTCTATCTTCCTCAATATGTAAACCTATTGTGAAGTTTCTTGGCAACCTTTGATCAAAAGAGGTTGGCCATTGCCTTTGTTTGAGGCTGAGAGAGTGTGACTTGCCCAAAGTATTCCAATAGAGTTCAACAAGGGTTCAAACACTTGTACTCCTCCATTCAAATCATTCTGGCTTTTCTGAAGTTTCATTCTATTCAAATTTAAGCAGCAATATATGAGGGCCGTTCATTAAAGATATCCACTGACCACTTCTATTTGTCACAGGACACTGAAACTGCACATGTGTAATGATATAAGTTTCTATAGGTTATGTGCCAATCTACAACTCAGAACTGAGAACAGTCTTGATTTGACAGGCATGTTTAGCCTGAAGAAGAGAAGGCTGAGAGGAGATATAATAGCCATGTATAAATATGTGAGAGAAAGTGATAGGGAGGAGGGAGCAAGCTTGTTTTCTGCTTCCTTGGAGACTAGGACGCGAAACAATGGCTTCAAACTACAAGAAAGGAGATTCCATCTGAACATGAGGAAGAACTTCCTGACTGTGAGAGCCATTCAGTAGTGGAACTCTCTACCCTGGAGTGTGTTGGAGGCTCCTTCTTTGGAAACTTTTAAACAGAGGCTGGATGGCCATCTGTCAGAGTTGATTTGAATGCAATATTCCTGCTCGTTGGCAGGGGGTTGGACTAGGTGGCCCATGATGTTTCTTCCAACTCTTTGATTCTACGATTCTATGACAGGTGTGGAAGTGGTGTGAGATTTGAGAATGGATCCAGTGGAAGACAGAGCAGTCCTCAAGTTCCTTTCCTTGCAAGGCTGCACACCAAAGGAGACATTCGATGAGATGAAAGAGGTTGATGGTGAGGATTCCCCATTATGTGATGGAGTCAAGAACTGGCATCGTCAATTCCAATGTGGTCAGAGTTCAGTGGAAACAGCTCCAATTCCAAGGCGAACCCCATTCTGCTTTTGATGAACACACCATCCAGCAAGTGGAGGTTGCCATTTTGGAAAATTGCATGTAACCATTCAGCACCTAGCCCAAAATGTCAAGATGAGTGTGGGGTCTGTAGAAAAAAATCACCCAAGACTATCTTCACCTGCATAAGGGATCCGCTCTCTGGGCCCCCTGGTTGCTCACACCTTTCTAGAAGCAGGAACGAGTCCAATGCTCTCAGGCTCTCTTGATAATGATGTGCCAGGGAAACCAGGAGGGCTTTTTCCACAGAATGATCACACTGGAAGAAAGCTGGGTTCATCACTTTGATCCTGAGACTAAAGTCCAGTCAATGTCATGGAAGCATCCTGACTCACTGTCTCCAAAGAAGGCATGTGCCCAACTCTCAGCAGGCAAGGTCATGCTCACAGTATTTTGGGACCAGCATAGAGTAGGATTGATGGATTTCCTAGCAAAGGGTGCCATGATCATTGGGGCATACTATGCTTCACTGTTGTGGAAATGGCAGGAGGCCATCAAAACCAAGAAACAGTGTGGCATGCTTCTCAAAGGTGTCCACCTTCTGCAAGGCAATGCACCAGTTCACAACTCCCAAGTTGCCCAAATGGAAGAAGCATGCTCTTGTGGCTTTGGAATTCAACTGCATTCCCTTGATTCACCCACCATCGGACTTCTGCCTCTTTCCAACAATGAAGTTGGTGTCCACCTTCTGCAAGGCAATGCACCAGTTCACAACTCCCAAGTTGCCCAAATGGAAGAAGCATGCTCTTGTGGCTTTGGAATTCAACTGCATTCCCTTGATTCACCCACCATCGGACTTCTGCCTCTTTCCAACAATGAAGTTATTATTGAAGGGCCACGCATGTAGCCAGGGGGGGCTTCACCCCCCCCCCGAAATTCTCATGGTGGTCCGCGAGAAGGTCTTACTGGTGCATTATTTAAACTGTTATGTTTATTCATATCATGATCTGATTACCATACTCAATATATCCCATATGCATGGGGGTATTGGGGTAACGATACAAAAGGTTTGCTAGGGTAGACCCTCTTTCACTCAGACTCAGCCCCCCCCCCCCGCCCCCCGAATCAAACTGAGCTCCCCCCCGAAACAAAATCCTGGCTACGGGCATGTGAAGGGCAAACCTTTTTCAGGTGACGAGACTCTGGTTTCCAAAGTTATAATGTGGCTTTTGGAGCAATTTGTCGACTTCTACAAGCAAGCTGTTGATTTCTGCTTCAGAAGATGGAGAAGTGTGTGTCCTTAGGTGGCACCCATAGAGAGAAGGACTCAGAACTGGGCCATGTTTCATTGCTCTCAGTCCACAGGAAGTGGGGCAGGGGAACTCTTTCATCAACGCCCCTTGTATATCTGCCAGAGCCACTTAATACTAATATATCAGCCCTTAGGATATGTAGGAAGAAAGTGAAATGTTGGATCTGGAAATATTCTGAATTCCTTGCTTTTGAAACTCGATGCAACCCAGACCAGCCGTGAATTTGCAAAGATTAGTTTTCCTAACAAAATGTAAACAACGTCCATCTCCAGCTCCAATATTTTTGACCTAAAACTGAGGTCACTGTGCCTTGATCTTGCCTTCTTGAATTTGCAAAAATGATTATTGCTAGGACCCTGAGATAAAGAGGAGGAAAAGCCCTGCAGATAGAAAAGAAAAAGTTGTTCCAGGTCTCGTTGCACAAGGCTTTTCTTCCAGGGGAAATATGATCATCGGATGCAACGAAGGTGTTGATGCAAAATCTCCAGTCTGCAGGCAATCGAAAGGATGGGTGCCTGAAAGGCCAAGAATGACTCAATGGGGCCAAAAGCACTTCTGGGGGTCTGGCTGCGGAGGATCCAAGCACTTCCCGATTTTCTCACAGCCTGGAGGAGCCCAATTCTAAGAATAAGAACAGAAAGAGAAGAATCTCAATCAGAATGGGAGACAGAGGTGGTTAAATGCCTTCTAGTCATTTCCAACTTATGGGGACTCTAAATCAGTGTTTCTCAACCTTCCTAATGTCGCGAGCATTGAATACAGTTCCTTATGCTGTGGTGACCCCCAACCATAACATTATTTTGGTTGCTACTTCACAATTGTAATTTTGCTACTGTTATGAACCATCATGTAAATATCTGACTAGCAGGATGTATTTTCATTCATTGGACCAAATTGGGCACAAAGACCCAATATGCGGTTCAATCTTTAAATCCTCGTCTCATGTAAGTTTTTCTAGTTACTTCTTGTCAATTCTGCTGTCACCTGGGATTGCAAAATTAACGATCAATACTTTTATTTTTTCCACGATCGTGAGGTCTGGAGTCATCATCATCATCATTTCAGTGTTTCTCAACCTGGGGTCAGAGCGATCGCCAGAGACACCACAAAAGATGCATATCTAATGGTCTTAGGAACTCCTTTGGCAAAGAAGGCTGAAGATCTCTCCATCTGTCCTTCTCTTCCTTTTTGGAAACAGATGGTGAATTCTTCCATTAAAAGCCCTTCTCCACTGTGATTGACTGGCCTTTCAGTGGGCCTCTTAGCCAAGGGGAGGGCTGTTTCTGGGACTCCAAGTGGGGAGAGCAGGTGTGCTGGAGGGAGGCTCACATCAGTGAGTTCCTTCAAGGCATGGGGGAATTGTTTGGGAATTTGGCTCAATTCTGGTCTTCAGAATCCTCTTTGATTGTAGGTAAACTATAAATCCCACCAACTATAAAACTCCCAAATGCCAAGGTCTATTTTTCCCAAACTCCACCAATATTCACATTTGGGCATATTGTGTATTTGTGCCAAGTTTGATCCAGATCCATCATTGTTTGTGCCCACAGTGCTTTCTGGATATAAGTGAACTACAGCTCCAAAACTCAAGGTCAATGCCTATCAAACCCTTCCAGTATTTTTTGTTGGTCATGGGAGTTCTGTGTCCCACGTTTGGTTCAGTTCTATCGTTGGTAGAGTTCAGAATGTTCTTTGATTGTAAGTGAACTATAAATCCCAGCAACTACAACTCCCAAATGACAAAATCAATCCCCCCAATCCCACCAGTATTCAAATTTGGGCATATCGAGGTATCTGTGCTAAATTTGATCCAGTGAATGACAATACATCCTGCATATCAGATATTTACATGACGATTCATAACAGTAGCAATGAAAATAATGTTATAGTTGGGGGTTACCACAACATGAGGAACTATATTAAGGGGTCGCTGCACTGAAAGGCTGAGAAACACTGTGCTACTGTATTGCATACTACTACTACAACGATGACTACCACTAACAATAACCCGCCTCTCCTTGCTGCTCGAGGTGGGGTACAATACCATTATAACAAAAGAGATAAAACACTATTAAAATATATATAACAAGATACACACAGTTTAAATGTGGCCTATAATTCACAGATAAAATGTGGATTAACATTCATCATCATAGTTATAAATGGGACTTGGATATAAACCAGGGGTCCTCAAACTAAGGCCCGAGGGTCGGATGTGGTCCTCCAAAGTCATTTACCCGGCCCTCGCTCAGGGTCAACCTAAGTCTGAAACGACTTGAAAACACAACAACAACAACAACAACAACAACAACAATCCTATCTCATCAGCCAAAAGCAGGCCCACACTTCCCACTGAAATGCTAATGTTTATATTTGTTAAAATTGTTCTTCATTTTAATCATTGTATTAAGTGTTTTTTGCACTACAAATAAGGTATGTGCAGTGTGCATAGTAATTCATTTGTGTTTTTTTTCAAATTATAATCCGGCCCTCCAACAGTTTGAAGGACTGTGACCAGGCCCTTTGTTTACGAGTACAAAGTCAATGGCTCCTGCATAAACCCCATTGCAAAATATCTGCTCAATTTATTTGGTGAATGTCCTGACCCAGCTTTATTCTAAGTATCTTTATGGCCACAGGTGTTGTATGTCAGTCTGTGCAGCCTGTGAGTGTGTCTAATGATTAGGTTGCTTTGGATGATGAGAATGACAATGTCGTTCATCTTAAAGTTGATTTCTCTGATGGGAATGGAAATGCTGTTCATGAAGATATTCCTGAAGGGAATGGGGATGATGGTTTCCTGGGCCTGGTTTTAGAGATGTGGGGCCTGAATGAAGTTCAGTTGATTGTCTGTATTGTTGCAAAGGAATGATCAAGGTCTTGAGACTGGGAAAGGCTCTGCACTGCAGTCCCCCGGTCAGTTATCTCCAGGTGCAGATTTTAATGAAGCCTTGAACAGAAGAAGTGCTTTTACCCAGCAAAGACAAACAAATCAGAAATTAAGGCACTCAGCCAGATTAGAGCAGAAGCTCAAAGTGAAACCAGGGTTAAGGAAAAATCTGTTCTTAGCTGTTTGGGATATAAGTGCCAAATACTGAATCTAGCTTCGGACGAAGCAACGTTGGATTCATGATAAGTTCTTCTTGCCAAATTCCTCAACCTTTGTTTTTGTTTGATTTCTTTGTGTAATGTTTATTGCTTTTTATGAGTTTATTTATTGTTGTATTTGTTTGTTATGCTACTGTTTTGTTATGCTACTGTTTTACTGTTTTATCTAGCCTCGGCCTCTTGTAAGCCGCACCGAGTCCTTCGGGAGATGTTAGCGGGGTATAAATAAAGGATTATTATTATTATTTCTGTTTTAAGTGCCTTTGCTGTTATTTTGCCTTTGAAATCAAGCCTCTAGTTTCATGGACTTCTCTGGACTATTTCTCTTTGGATTAATAGTTCTTTTTTCTTCCTAATCCATTGGATTTACCTTCTACTGTGGATTACTTTTTATTGCTTTGGCTGTTATTACCCTCAATAAACTGCTTACTAATTTAACTCAACTGTGTGGTGTTGAAAGAGTGGATCCCGCTCTGGACTGCAGCAACAGGCGAGTCCCTGACTGTCTTTTGCAGACATCCAAAGGCAATAAAGTGTACACAGTTGTTGATGTATAGACATCCTATTCTCTCCTTGCCTCCCACCCTCATCTGCTTTATATATCTGCAGGAAATTTCCCATGTTTCCTTCCTTTTGGCCACAACCAGAAAACATTTGGAGCTCGACTGCCTATTCCTGCCTTTATTCCAGAGCTGCCTCGCTATTCCCTCTTTGGGGTCTCCGATAATCGAGCCAACCTTTGTATGGTTGACAGGAAGGAAGAAGAAGCCCTTGACTCTGAAAGGCTCTGTAATTATTTTGCGCAGACATATTTGTGGAGATTACCCCCAAAGAGCCCCAGAGAAGACATGCGTCTCTGAAGGCCAGGGGTGAAGGCAGATAAGAACATTGGTGCTTTAATGAGCGGCTTGATGGATTAGACTGCCAAGTGATGGATTAGGAGGCATTTACATGGAGACACCCAAGGGACGGGGGAACCGAGCCCCGATTATGATGATGCCTCTGTCGTTGGTTCGCTGGGAATTCTTGGCACTGTTTAGTAGAGGAACGCCAATGTCAAGCAAGGAAAGTGAGCTCTCCCTTAGAATCATAGAGTTGGAAGAGACCTCGTGGGCCATCCTGTCCAACCCCATTCTGCCAAGCAGCAGGAAAATCACATTCAAAGCACCCCCGGCAGACGGCCATCCAGACTCTATTTAAAAGCCTCCAAAGAAGGAACCTCCACCACACTCTAGGGCAGAGAGTTCCACTGCTGAACAGTTCTCACAGTCAGGAAGTTCTTCCTAATGTTCAGATGGAATCTCCTGTCTTGGGGTTTGAAGCCATTGTTCCGCGTCCTAGTCTCCAGGGCAGCAGAAAACAAGCCTGCTCCCCCCTCCCTATGACTTCCCCTCACATATTTATACTTGGCCCTCATCATGTTTCCTCTCAGCCTTTTCTTCTTCAGGCTAAACATGCCTGGCTCTTTAAGCCACTCCTCATAGGGCTTGTTCTCCATTATTTTCGTTGCTACTTCATAACTGTAATTTTGCTACTGTTATTAATTGTAATGTAAATATCTGATATGCAGGATGTATTTTCATTCATTGGACCAAATATCTGATAAGTTCTAATTTGAATACTGGTGGGGTTGGAGGGGCATTGATTTTGTCATTTGGGAATTATAGTTGCTGGGATTTATAGATTCACACACACACACACATAAATTCTCTGTGCTTAATGAGTACCTTAAAAACAAAAGAACCAATGAACGAAATAACACCAAATTTGGCAACAAAACATCTCACAACACAAAGAGTGACCATCACTCAAAAATTATGGTTTTGTCATTTGGGAGTTGTATTGCTGGGATTTATAGTTCACCTACAATCAAAGAGCATTTTGAACTCCACCAACGATGGAATTGAACCAAATTTGGGACACAGAACTCCCGTGACCAACAGAAAATACTGGAAGGGTTTGGTGGGCATTGACCTTGAGTTTTGGAGTTGTAGTTCATCTACATCCAGAGAGCACTGTGGACTCAATGATGGATCTGGACCAAACTTGGCACAAATACTTAATATGCCCAAATGCGAACACTGACGGAGTTTGGAAAAAATAGACCTTGATATTTTAGAGTTGTAGTTGCTGGGAATTATAGTTCACCTGCAATCAAAGAGCATTCTGAACTCACCAACGATGGAAATGAATCAAACCTGGCACACAGAACTTCCATGACCAACAGAAAATACTGGAAAGGCTTGGTGGGCATTGACCTTGAGTTCGGGAGTTGTAGTTCACCTACATCCAGAGACACAGTACCCCATGACCAATAGAAAATACTGAGTTTTCTGATGGTCTTTGGCGACCCCTTTGACACCACCTCGCGACACCCCCAGGGGTCCCAACCCCCAGGTTGAGAAACACTGCTGTATCATCTATGAGACAGGGAATTGCTTCAATTCCAATTCTTTTTCCTGGACAATCCATATGAGGCCGAGGGCATTCTGGAAGCTGCTGCTGCTAAAAAACAAATAAACTTTCCAATGCCTGTCCAGCTCAGTATTCTGTGCAGCAGGACCAATCATCCTCTTGGTGTCAGAACCCTCCCTGCCTTCAAAGAGCAGCCAAGATCTGCTTCCTCTCTTTCTCAGATCTTCTCTTCCTGCAGCAGTGGGAGAATTCGGCTGTCAAACAGGAAAGGTCACTCCTGCCTGATGGTTGAGCTATTTTTATCCACTTTGGGTTGTAGGTTTTTCAGGCTGTATGGCCATGTTCTAGAAGCATTCTCTCCTGATGTTTCGCCTGCATCTATGGCAGGCATCCTCAGAGGTTGTGAGGTTATACAACTTCACAACAGCCCGAAAAAACTACAACACGCCATGAAAGCCTTTGACAATACATTTATCTGCTTTGTTTATCAGGGGAACCCCAGAAGGAGGGAGAGAGTTTGGGAATCTGCAAAGGAGCTTTTCTGCCTTTCAGATTGCTGCCGCCAGGTGGCAATGGCCACCCAGCAAAAAGGCCTCCAGGAAGAAGAAGGCCACCTAGGCCAGTGGTTCTCAACCTTCCTAATTTTTTTTTGGCGTGTCAGGAGCGACCTGAGAAACTGCAAGTCGCTTCTGGTGTGAGAGAATTGGTCTGCAAGGACTTTGCCCAGGGGACGCCCGGATGATTTGATGTTTTATTATCCTTGTGGGAGGCTTCTCTCATGTCCCCGCATGAGGAGCTGGAGCTGATAGATGCTGCCTCTCCCCCGATTCGAACCTGTGACCTGTCGGTCTTCAGTCCTGCCGGCACAGGGGTTTAACCCACTGCGCCACCGGGGGCTCCAACCTTCCTAATGCCGCGACCCCTTAATACAGTTCCTCCTGTTGCGGCGACCCCCAACCATAACATTATGAACTCCACCAATGATGGAATTGAACCAATCTTGGCACACAGGACTGCCATGACCAACAAAAAAATACTGGAAGGGTTTGGTGAGGATAGGCAGAGAGATCTGTAGCCTTCTCTGTCAAAGGGGTTCCTAAGACCATCAGAAATGGCGACACCCCCCCCCCCCCGAGGCCCCCCTCTTGACCCTTCCAGGGGTCCCAACCTCCAGGCTTAGAAACACTGTTGTATGTGATTCCAATGAGATCTTGCTCTGTGCCTTCAAGTCTTTTCCAACTTGCAGTTCACCAACAATCAAAGAGCATTCTGACCCACCAACGATGGAATTGAACCAAACTTGGCACACAGTCCCCTGACCAACAGAAAATACTGGAAGGATTTGGTGGGCAGTGTCCTTTGGTTTTGGAGTTGTAGTTCACCTACATCCAGAGATCACTGTGGACTCAAACAATGATGGATCTGGACCTACACAAATATTTGGAGTTGTAGTTGCTGGGATTTATAGTTCGCCTACAATCACAGAGCATTCTGAACTCCATCAACGATAGAATTGGGCCAATCTTCCCAACGCGTGGCAGGGGACAGCTAGTATATTATATATATATATATATATATACACACACACACACACACACACACACACACACACACATACACACACACACACACACATACACAAAATATATATTACGTTATTAGCAGAGAACAATATCAGTATTAAATATTACTATATTGTCCTATACCATTATATTGTAATATTATTAGTAATATTACATGTAATATAAATATATAATTATAATATCATATTATTATTAGTATTATATTGCATTACATTATAATATTATAAATATTATATGCACATACAATATGTTATATTATATTATACTATTAGCATAGCACAGGAGAGTGTTTTGTCCAGAAGAGTGTTTCCTTTGCTTTCCTTTGAGGCCGAGTGAGTGTGGCTTGACCTTAACATGGACCTTTTGGCATCCAAAACACAGACGTGCCAACACTTCCTTTAATATGGGGAGTAAATAGAAAAAGGAGGACAGAGAGAGGCTTTTGGCCCCAAATTGGCCTTTCTGTGTTGCTGCGATACAGACATGCAGACAACTGTCACTCTGATGTCTACTAACTTGTAGTATCACTATTCTTCACAAAGCATCTCTAGGCAGAAAAGCAGATGCTGACACTCCAAAGAATGCCGTAAAAACCCAGGCTTTCGAGGCCTATTTCTGTCCTAATCTCTCTTACCATGACCGCCTTGTCGCAGACGTTGAGCTGAGGCTGCCCAGGGAGCATTGTCTCCTTGTGTTGGTCCACAACGGGAGAGATCCTTCCCATCACGTCTTGGTATTCAGCACTGGAAAAGCTGAAATGATGGAGAAGGAATGGGAATTATTTCACAAAGAATGCAAATACCGGCTTTGACCCCAGTTTATCAGAAAACTGCATGTGTCCGAGCCCTTGTGGACCTTTATGCATCTTTGCACAAGCTTTGGTCCACGTCTTGCCCTGCATTCGTTAAAATGGAGGGGCTGGGATCTGCCAGCCCATCATCCTCTCCTGAACCACCCAGCCCTTAACTCTTTGGCAGGATTATAAAGTGCAGCAGGTATTTGTTTAAGTAGCTTAGCATGTTCCCTTTCAGAGAGGTATTACCTCGAGTAGTTCTTAAATGGAGGATTAATACCCCATGTTCTCATTTTTGCCCATCATATTAAGAGTCGTGGAGGAAACAAAAGCAGAGCAAATTGCTTTTGGAGATAAAATGGAAACAAGGCTGCTCTCGGGACTGACCCGTGGACTTCTCTCTTTCACTCTCTCGGCTTGTGGTCCACTTTCTTCTGCCAAAATTGATCAGAGGCAAAACCCAAACACATGGTTCCTGTAAGGTCTATAAATACTACAGATCCTCCTGGCAGCCTTCCAGGGATACAAAAAAGATAGAAGAGGGATTGAATGCTATATGCAAGGAAGCCCCGGGGTGAAGCAGACCCTCGACTTGGCTTCAGACGTTTGCAAGGAGACGATGCTTGCTACAAGGGCGTTCATTAAAGATTTCTCCTAACCCTGCAATTAGAAATCATGGGATTTTTTATCTGGATTTGTTCCCGGGTTTTAGATGTTTGTTCCTGATTGATCAGTTCCTAAAAAGAAGGTGACACTTGAGTAGAAGGCAAAAAATTTATTTATGTGGCAGAAACTTCAAGAAATGTGTGGAGGGCACATTTTCTCTGGCTAGGACAAAGTTGTGCCCTCCAGTCAACGTTGTACATCTTTTCACAAGAAGACCAATCAGGAACAGCCATGTATAACCCAGGAGCAGCACCCTGTTGTTTGATGCCACAAGTACACAACCAAATCTGTCTGGACAGATGGCCAGGCAGCCAGACCCTAAAAATTGTAGATAATGACAAAGTTATCTTCCTGGCTTAAAAGTATGTGTTCCCTGGTTGTTGTAGGTTTTTCTCAGGCTATATGGCTATGTTCTAGAGGCATTCTCTCCTGACATTTCGCCTGCATCTATGGCAAGCATCCTCAGAGGTAGTGAGGTCTGTTGGAACTAGGAAAACGGGTTTATATATCTGTGGAATTACCAGGGTGGGACAAAGAACTCTTGTCTGTTGGAGCTAGGTGTGAATGTTTCAACTGACCACCTTGATTAGCATTTGATGGCCTGGCAGTGCCTGGGGCAATCTTTTGTTGAGAGGTGATTAGATGTCCCAGTTTGTTTCCCCTCTGTTGTTTTGCAGTTTTAATTTTAGAGGTTTTTTTAATACTGGTAGCCAGATTTTGTTCATTTTCATGGTTTCCTCCTTTCTGTTGAAACTGTCCACATGCTTGTGGATTTCAATGGCTTCTCTGTGTAGTCTGACATGGTGGTTGTGAGAGTGGTCCAGCATTTATGTGTTCTCAAATAATATGCTGTGTCAAGGTTGGTTCATCAGTTGCTCTGCTATGGCTGACTTCTCTGGTTGAAGTAGTCTGCCTTCCATGTTCCTTGATTCGTGTTTGGGCAATGCTGCGCTTGGTGGTCCCTATGTAGACTTGTCCTCAGCTGCATGGTATATGGTAGACTCCTGCAGAAGTGCGAGGATCCCTCTTGTCCTTTGTTGAACGGAGCGGTTGTTGGATTTTCTTGGTGGGTGTAGCATGTGTTCCTGTTTGTTTGTGCTCCTGTTTGTGTACCGCTGATTTGGGCAGTAGTGGTCCTATCCCATGAGGTTTGTTTGTGTGGAAGATACTTCATGAAACATATGCATGGCACAGTTTTCCTGGCCAGGACAAAGAACAGACTTTTTGCAGTGATCTGCATATCCGAATCTCCGCATATCTGCATCTTGCAGGGCAGGCATGTAGCTGGGGGGGGGGGGGGGGGGGGGTTGAGGGCTCAGCCCCCCCCCCCAATTCTCATGGTGGTCTGCCAAAAGGCCTTACTGGTACATTATTTAAACTGTTATGTTTATTCATATCATGATCTGATCACCATGCTCAATATATCTCATATGCATGGGGGTATTGGGGTAACGATACGAAAGGTTTGCTAGGGTAGACCCTCTTTCACTCAGACTCAGCCCCCCCTCAAACTCACCCCCCCCCCAATCAAAATCCTGGCTATCGGGCCTGGGCCCACTTTGACCCTCCTTCCCTCCCTCCCCCGAAACTCCCCCTGACAGCCCCCCCTCCCGAATCGAAATCCTGGCTATGGGCCTGTTGTAGGGTTTTTTTAAAAACCGTTTGTTTCTGGTGCAGCAGCCATCCTGGGAGCCTCTAAACCTTGGAACAAAGCATCCCTACTTGTGGCATCCCTCTCTTTCTTCCACTGCGGTTCTCATCTTCCCTTTGGCAGTCTTGGTGAGACGGAATACAAATTTTGGGCAGCCTCTGGCACCAAGGCAGTGCTATCCTCTTGTTCTTTCCAGGACGAAGAGGAAGCATTGGTGAGCACTCTTTGGGTGCTCAACCTACACTTAATGAACATGTATCCCCCTAACAGGATGCTGACCATTATATATTGCGAGAAAGACTCTGTTTCACACCTAGGATAGCCACCATGCTGGTCTCATCATGGCAGGTAACTGGAAAGGGAGCAAGGATGGCTTAGAGATTAATGGCTCCCTCTCAACACAAGGATGGATGAAGGCTGTATCTTAATGGCGGTTCCTTCTTTCCTGCCTTCTGCCCGAAAGCTCGTTCCACGCCGCAGGCCACGGCGGAGTTAACAATGTGCCCGGAGAGGGCCAGGGCGAAGACCCCAGACTGCCGGAGTGCAATTACGTGAAATGAACTCAAGGCCCGCCACACCTGCGCCTGGGCCTTCGTGCCTCTGATCTGCCTCTGATTGGCTCCCGGGGGCATTCTTGGAGGTAAAGTGTCAATTAGTGCAATGACCCGGGGCTCCGTCCACTCTGCTCTTTCCTACGCGTGTGGAATCATTCCACATTGGCCACAGGGGGAATCTCTCACACCAAATGCGCCTCGCTGCACCACCTGCGCATCCCTCTCATTCTTCCACTGTGGTTCCCATCTTCCCTTTGGCAGTCTTGGTGAGACAGAATGCAAATTTTGGGCAGCCTCTGTCACCAAGGGAAACAATAGGTGTGCAAGACACCTGGACAGATTCACCGCAGCACCATTGTCAGCATGACAACAATACTGTTGTTAATTCCCTTGCCATGGTTATTTATTATTTATTTACGACATTTATATGCCGCCCTTCTCACCTCGAAGGGGACTCAGAGCAGCTTACACGACATATATACATACAATTTATTATATTATTAGCATAGTGCAATATCAGTATTAAATATTACTATATTGTACTATACCATTATATTGTAGTATTGTTAGTAATATTACATGTAAAATAAATATATAATTATAATATATTATTATTAGTGGTATTATATTGCATTACATTATAATAGTATAAATATGATATGTATATACAATATATTATATTATATTACATTATATTATATTATTAGAATAGCACAGGAGACAAGGTGGAACTGTCTTCTGCCCCCTGCTCTCTTCACTCTGGCCCAGAGCAGCAGTTGGTGCTGGGGGGAGGGGTCCTCAACTGATATACAGAGGTTATCCCCTCCTCTGGATGAAATGGAAACAAGCACATCTCCCAGCCATCATAATATTTTGCTTTTGAGAGCAGGTGTCCTTCTGTGCCACATACCATCCTTGTACTCCACACTGGCCTGCCACACTGAAACACAGAGTTGGAAGGGCTCCCCCAAAGCCATCCAGTCCAACCCCCTACTGCCTCGATCTGTAGAGAAAGACTAGTAAGAAGTCCTCCCTCTGCACCTACTCTCCATAGGTTGCTAGAAGGGCGTGCACTGAATCAATGGAAAGTGACAGGTAAGCACCTACAGCACTCAACAAATATTGTAGGTAACAATGGATGGGTAAGAGTTCAGATAAAGAGCAGCCCCACCAAGAGGAAATCCGTGGGTAGAATTGCTTATTGTGGGATAGGTATCCCTTATTCAGGCTCCCTGGTGGCGCAGCAGTTAAACCACTGAGCTGCTGAACTTGCTGATTGGCGGTTCGAATCCGGGGAGCGGGGTGAGTTCCCACTTTTCGTCCCGGCTTTTGCCAACCTAGCAGCTCAAAAACATGCAAATGTGAAATCATTAGGTACAGCATCTGCGGGACGGTAAAGGCTCTCCATGCAGTCATGCTGGCCACATGACCTTGGAGGCGTCTATGGATAACGCTGGCTCCTCAGCTTAGAAACTGAGATGAGCACCACCCCCCAGACTTAATGTCAACAGGAAACCTTTGTCTTTTTATCCTTTACTCACAATTATGAAATCTTCCAGAACCATCCCCATGAGTGGCTAAGATAGTATAATGCCTCTGTTTTGTGATGGTTTAGTGCACGCAAGCTTTGTTATTGACACAAAATGATTATTAGCTAACCTTCAAGCTTATGTGTATAAGACGTATGTGCAACATCAATGGATTTTGTATTTAGATTTGGGTCTAAACTCCAATCTCTCTCTCTCTCTCTCTCTCTCTCTCTCTCACACACACACACACACACACACACACACACAAGCTTGGGTACTCAACATTGCCCAAGTTATTTGAAAAAGTTCTGTGTGCCAAGATTGGTTCAGTTCCATCGTTGGTGGAGTTCAGAATGCTCTTTGATTGTAGGTGAACTATAAATCCCAGCAACTACAACTCCCAAATGACAAAATTAACACCACCACCCCACTCACCCACCACCCCGAACACCACTAGTTTTCAAATTTAGGCATATCGGGTATTGCTGCCAAATTTGGCTCAGGGAATGAAATACATCCTGCATATCAGATATTTACATTACAATTCGTAACAGTAGCA